GGGTGGGTGGGGAGAGATTAACATCAGAATTTATATGCATATGTGCATAACCCACAGACACAGACAATAATGGGGTAAAGGCCTGGGGGAGGGGTACAGGGTAGAGGGGATCAATGGGGGGAAAAAGGGGACATTTGTAATATTTTCAACAATAAGGATAATTTTTTTATAAAAAGGAAAGAGAAAGAATGGAAAAAGTTATTCAATGCAATAGTAATCAAGGGTGAGCTGGAATGATTATACTAATATTAGAAAAAGCAGTCTTTAAGTCAAAACTGTTACAAGAGCTCAGCCGGTATGGCTTAGTGGTTGAGCATGACCCATGAGCCTGGAGGTCACGGTTGGATTCCCAGTCAGGCCACATGCCTGGGTTGTGGGCTTGATCCCCAGTAGGGGGCATGCAGGAGGCAGCCGATTAATGATTCTCTCTCATCACTGATGTTTCCATCTCTCCCTCTCCCTGAAATCAATAAAAACATATATTTTTTTAAAAACTGTAGCAAGAAACAAAAGATCAATAAAAATCTATAAAAGAATCGATTATGAAGAAGATATAATAATAATGATAAACATAGGCACACTAAACGACAGAGCTGTAAAACACATGAAGCAAACACTGACAGAACTGAAGAAATACACAGATCTATAATAACAGATGGGGAGTTCGAGACCCCACTTCAAATAATGGATAGAACATTTTGACAGAAAATCAGTAAGAAAACAGAGGACTTGGATAGCAATATAAACCAGGTGAACCTAAATGATACATGCAGAACACTTCAATCAACAACAGCAGAATACACATTTTTCTCAAGTGCACATGGGACATGCTCCAAGACAGACCATATGTTAGTCCACAAAACAAGTCTCAATGATGTCATGCAAAGTGCCTTCTCCAAACACAGTGGAATGAAGCTAGAAATCAGTAACAAAATGAAAACTGGAAAATTCACAAATACGTGGAAATTAAACAACACAACTAAACAACCAATCAATGGGTCAAAGAAGAAAACAACAGAAAATACTTTAAGATGAATGAAAACACAAACACTGATTAACAACACTGTGGAATTCAAGAAAGCAGTTGTCAGAAGGAAATTTTTAACTGTAAACACCTATATTAAAGTGAAGAAAGATCTCAAGTAACATAACTTTGTACGTTCAGTAATTAGAAAAAAGACCAAACTCAAAGACAGCAGAAGTAAGGAAATAAAGATTAAAGCAGAGATCAATGAAACAGAGGGGGGAAAACAACAGAGACAAATCAAAAGTTTATTCTTGGAAAAGATCAACAAAATTGACAAACCGTTATCTAGACTAAGAAAAAAAGAGAAAAGACGAAAATAATTAAAATCAGAAATTCAAGTGAGGACATTATTATTTATCTTACAGAAATAAAGAGTTATAAAAGAATACTATGAACAACTGTATGCCAACGTTAGATAACCTAGATGGAATTAGAAAATCTGAACAGACTTATGGCAAGCAAGGAGACTGAACGCAGTACTAAATGCCTCCCAACAAAAATAAGTCTTAGAGGAACTGCTAAATAATTTCTTTACCAGGCATTCTGAAAATCTGAATGGTCACACAAAGGAAAGAGAATGGACACCATGTTTTCAGTCTTGTATACAAGTGGAAAATAAAAATTACATCCTGAGGAATAAAGTTCTTTTGAAACCAAAGAGAAAGAGACAGCAGAATATGAATATTTTCAAAGTTGGTGAGAAAGATCAAAGGAAGGTAGATAACATCAGCAATTTTCCACTATTGAGGAGATACAACTTGATTAGATTTTCATGCCTAATAGGCTGCATATATTTTAAGAGAAGATTAAGTTAGGGTTTGAAAAATGACCAAGGCAAATAAATCGATATATTTCACAAAGTACTGCTATGAAATGAGTTATCTCTATTACCAATTAAGACTATCTTAAAAACAAATACGGATGGGCTGCTACAATGTAAGAAGAGGTACAAGAGGAAAAGCTTAAACACAGAGAAACGGAGGCGACTTTTTAGAAGTCTCTTCAAGTTGCAGGGTACCAGAGGGGACAGTGAGAGGACACTGGGTGAAGGAATCCTTTGAAAATGAACATCATCAATTACTCATTTGGGGGAGGAAAACGGAAAAATTTTGAGGAAGTGAGTTTCTATTTTGCAAATGTTTCAAGTGCTTAAAAGAAAAAAAGCAATTAGTGAAATACCCTATTGTTACCTAACATTATGTTCGTTGCAGTGTGATGCAATATGAAGTACACATCATCTATGAAGCACCCATACCAAAAAATGTATCCTCTGAAACTAGCCATTACAAATAAATCAGACAAATCCAGAATGTGGGACATTCTAAAAACACTCCCAAAAATGTCAAAAGCATTAAAACACAAAACGTAACAACTAAAAGTAATATATAACCTTGATGTGATCCTTGACTGACAGCTATAAAATACATTTATTTTGAACAACTGGGAAATTTGAGTATGAGCTGTATATCAGATGATACTATGAAATTCTTATTAACTTTTTAAGGTTTATGTTTTAGGTATGGTAATGATAATGTGGTTATACAGAAGAATGCCCTTTTCTTGGGAGATACATGCTTAAGTGTTTAGAATGAAATTCATGACATGTGTGATTTCCTTTCAAATGGTCCAGCACGTATGCACACACACAAACACATCATATATATATATGTGTGTGTGTTTAAGTACATATACAGGGATTGGCAAATGTAGGTTTACAGTTGTTCATATGGAAAATAATACAATAATCAATAAATAATAAAACAAGAATAAACTCTGTCTTGTGTACTCATATTTGTAAACCTACTTTTGCCAACCCCGGGTGTATGTATATGTAAATGTATATGTGTATGTACATAAATACACACACACCCCTAGAGGAGGAGGTGGGGAGGCAGCAAAATGTTAACAACCGGTTTATGAAAAAACTTAAGTTTAAACTCTACACTCTATACACTTTCTATGTTAAATATAATCTAAGAAGTCACAACTCCTATAGACTAAAGACAAGATACATTGCTGGTATCTTCTGCCAAGATATATCAAAGAAAGTCAAGTCACTCAGAGGCTTGTAAGATGAATGCTGATTATATTCTTGCCTATTTACATGCCTCAGAAGACTGGAATGGACAGAAACACTCGTTCAGTCTGGTCAAGATCAGAGGCAGAGTCTGTCATCAGGCTGCTCACTCCAAAGTTGAAGTAGGTCAGCAGAAGTAGAAAAGCCGGCCCCTCCTGGGCGTGTGAACCTTACTTACTTTTACAGAAACTGAAAGTCTACTTCTGTATAAAAGTCACCTGAATGCAAGTATTTAGCTGTATCAGGGCTACAACTGCATTTTTAACATTTACCTAAATCAAATACAATTCTTAGCCAGTGTCACACACCAAAAACATTTAGTCAACCTTAGTACTGAGACAAGCCCTAAAAGTACAGATAACAGTTTACAGTTAATTCTCAGGGCATAATTACTAAGTATGTAAATTATATGAATTGCCAATACTCCACATTTAATTTGTTGTTCTTGCTTTTGAACTGGTTGTTCCATTTATCCCTAATTATCATGACGCATGCACGATCGTCCAAATCTTCCCAAGTTTGCCTGGACAGTCACCACAAAGTCCAAACTATAAATGAAGGTATCTTTTTGTATATATTAATGCACACTCACTCACACACACACACACACCCCTCTGACATTTTCATCTGTGGAAAAGGTGAAATGAAAAGATGTAACAATAAAAATAGAGTATTAGAAGCAATAATCTAAAATACTGTTAAATAACTGGAAATTTTAAAATACAATGACCAGAGTACAGGCAACAGAGCGTGTACAAAGAACACGTGAAATACTGCGCCTTAAACTATTTATAGGTTGAGAGATAAGTGAAAAGAACTGTTGATAAAAAATCTACTTTTAAATAATGTTGAAAATACAATGTATTCAAGTTTATAAAATAAGTGTAAGTTTGGGGATAGCACTGAGCCTGCCCACCCACAAACGAGGTAAGAAGCTGTAATATGCAGCCTACGATGCTTATTTCCTATTGCTTATGGTACTGGGTTTGCAAATACATAAATCAGGAAAGAAGCTGAAAATTAAAAGGAGATAAAAATTATATTCAGCTCTCAGCCAATCTTCCAGTTTAAAAAGAGTCTTAAAGACTGAAACAGAAACCACTGATGAGGAGTGTTTCCATAATGACACAAAGCCTGTATGTGTCACCATTTAGGCTAGTCTGCTGGTCCCCAAAGAGCCACAGCCACATTAAGGAAGACACCAACACTTAAGGGGAATGTTTATAATATAGACACTAAATTCCAGTCTGTGCAGATGCACAGGGGTCAGAGGAGTATGAAATGTGCAGAAGGTTAGTGTAGCTCTGTCTCCCTGAAGGGAAAGAGGCTCCAGGCTGGCAAATACCTAAGGCATCTCCCCTTGCATTTGTTACTGTGCTTCGCCCACCTCTAAAGAAGGAACCAACAATATTCAAAATGTAACCTCAGAATCTGTAAAATACACTGAGTTCTACCATGAACCAAATCTTCCCATTCTTCTGTGAACCAAGTCTTCCCATTCTTCTGTAACTGGAAACAGTATCGCTTAATGGCCTAGGACACATCACCAACATGTCTACTACAACATATGGAGTGCGAGAAACACAAAGAGACCTTCTGAGATCTAACCATCTAGTTGATTAGTAGAGTTGAATATAATGAAAAAACAATAGTTAGACCACAAATGCTAAGTACCAAATAAGAGGAACAGAGTAAGACAAGAAAACAGGAGTTCGCTGGGATAATTTTGCAGCATTTCATGGAAAAACTAGAACCTGAGCTTGGTCTTTAGGGAGGAGAAAAACATTCTAGCAGGTGAAACTGTATGACCAACGGCAGAGTCCTTGGAAGTACAGCACCAAAGGGCACAGGCTCTGTGCAATGACCATCAAGCAAGAAGGCCTGGCTTTCACTTACTGCCATGTACGGCCTACACCCAGCATCTCTTGTCTTGGCAATGGAATCCACGAGCTGTCCACTGATGCCAAAGTCACAGAGTTTAATATTTCCACTTCTGTCCAGAAGGATATTGGAAGGTTTGATATCTGAAAGAGATAGATGTCATTCAATGTAGAAGTGATCAATCAAATGAGCTACATTCTAAAGTACTTTAAGTAAAAATACTGAAAACCTTAGACAACGTAAGTGACCCAGTCCTTAAATTTAAGTATATGAGCAGATGAGAAATATGAGATTTCTCTGAAGACCAATGCTTAAAAATTCAATATCAAAAAATGCTATACAATACATTTAGGCATTCTATAATGCTGTTTTTGTTCTCACCAGGAGACATATTCATTTACTTGCTTCAAATTCATTACTTAACAGTCAAAATATAAAAAATGAATTAACCTGTAGGAGTATACTAAGCTACTTTACAGTATGTGCCAAAGACTACACAACTACATACAAGGTATACAAGCTATAAACCCAGAATTTAGTTAAAGCAGAGCTCTATGTATACAAGCTATAAACCCAGAATTTAGTTAAAGCAGAGCTTCATGTATACAAGCTATAAGCCCAGAATTTAGTTAAAGCAGAGCTTAACTAATTTAGGAAAGTATCCACTCCAGTGCATCCAGAGACTACAAACTTTGGGATCAGAGGAGCAAAGTTTAAATCTGGATGTAAAATTCACAATGTGAAATTCTTAAGGTGACCTGTGAACTTTCAGTAGCAACCACAATTTCCTCATCTACAAAATATAAAAACAGTAATTCCTAATACAGTAATTCCTAATTCAGGGTTGTGGAAATTAAAACACATAATACATTGCCTGAACATTATTTAAGCTCAATAAATGCATCCACTTAATAATTATTTCTGCTTGAGAGAACTTTTCAGATCTCAGATGGCTGCATCAAGCTTCTCCCAACCAACCCCTTCTTAAGAGCCATCCTCGAGAAATGAGGTTCATTACCACTCCCAGAGGGTTTGTGCTTTCCCGCAAATCTGACAAAACCGAATCCCTTCACGTGTTTCTACAGGTTTTACACAGTCTTGCCAAACTGGCCCCAGGGTCATCACCTCCTCCTCACTAACAATCAACTTATCACCAGTTATATGAATCGGCTGTCTAGCCGATTCTCCCCCTTGGCTCGCCAATTCTCTCTTAATTCTTCTCTCCATTGTGTTGTCACTATCATGGCGCAGTGAATAAAAAGTTGAGATAAAAATAAATATAAGACCTAACAAAATCTGTCTATAATTCAGAAAGTGACCTACAAAGAAATCCAGGAAAGATCTCTTACCACCACTGACACAGTGACTGCCTAGCAAACACCCACTCCTAACCACACCATTCTTTCTAATGGAACCTGCGTGAGGATGGGCACCTCAACATCCTCCTCCTCTGTACGGCTCTAGCCACACCTCCAAATATTGAGTCCTGATTGGTCTAAGAGCATCAGGGTAGTCGCAGGCTCCTGGGAAGGGACTAGTTTATATAAGGGCATGAGGCAATTCTGGTGACTGACAAGAGAAAACAGAGACCTGTAGGGAAGACGTCCCTGCTCCTAAGACAGCAGCAAGGAAGAGAGAGCTTCTTCATGAAGGTGTCATGTCTCGATGTGACACTGGGGACCAGCTTTATTTGTTACTACCCTGAAGATGCAGCGGACAGACCTAGGAGGGTACAGTCTAAAGAAGGGAGCTTGAGCCCTAATCATATTGTGCCAGAACTATATTACAACAGATAATGAATTTCCCTGAAGTGTAAGCCAGTTAGAGTTTTCTATTACGTGTGATCAAAAGCACTCTAACTGCAGTGAAGAAGGTGACCTAATTCAAATTGATAAAAGGACTGCTATAAATTCATCATTTCAGGCAGTCATAGGAAAGCCCAAGTTATTTCTGTAGATGTTCCCTTTTGCTCTACTCCTCAGGCCTGTCCTGGTGCTTTACTGTGATGCCCTGAATATCCCCAGGGCTCCTGAACAGCCTGAAGGCAGAGGCGCTGCTCTCACAATTGACGAGCCCAGCACAAAGGGAGGGAGACTCCAGAACCAGAACAAGACGAACTGTGAGAGGAACAAAATAATTTTGTTTAGGGGCCTAACCCTACATGACTTTAGGCCAAAAGGAAATTAGAAGTCTACCTAATACTATTTTTAACAAGCATTAATCCTGGCAAAAGTAAGTGATTTACTCTGATGTTCAACGTTAACTAATTTCTAGTCCAGGGTCAACTCCAAACTAAAATTACTTAAGTAAATGCCCCAATTACTAATTTCTTTAACCACTAGAAACTGTGTTTCTTAGAACTCAAGCTTTTGCACTTCTCTGAATATGACCTTTGACTTTCCGTCTTACTGTCAGGCTGAATCACACTGTCACATATTGTCTTAGGTTTGTGCCTCTTCAAATCCACTACCTCACTATGAGTCTTTCACAATAAACAGAGCAACTATTTATTCAGTCTATTCGCTGAATTAAACTCAGGATCCCCACTGTCTTCCAATAAATCTACATCAAATGTCTAAAAATGCTGAATCTGTGTCTAATAAGGGCAAGACCACTGTTCTCACAAATACNCTAAAAATGCTGAATCTGTGTCTAATAAGGGCAAGACCACTGCTCTCACAAATACAAATGCTTTAGAGCAATTTCAATGTATATACTAATTAAGGAATCTCTCAATTTGCAAAAATATCTTCTAAGGTAGAGAAGAAACACTGGACAGGGACAGTGGTGTGCCCTTAAAATACAAGGGCAGTGCCCCTGAGTCTTCTCTGAATGCCCACAGGACCACCTTCAAGTCCTAGTTGCATACAAGAGAAACAACTAATTATCTATCCAGCAAATGAACAATTATTTTTCAACTAAGAGTAATAAGAACTTACAGCAAAATCTCTTTCCATTACTAAGCCCAACATATTAGTACAGTAGACTGAAATTTATAGATTCCCAAAAGAAAAAAACACCCTAAATTAATAATGAAACTTTAGGGTACATATAGTAGGTTTTGCTTAAAAGTGACATTGTAATTTTCAGTATTTTTTCCCTATTAAGGAAAAATTATTCTATAAAAAACAATCCTATACCCACCTCTGTGAATGATTTTCAAGTTTTCTTTTAAGTGGTTTAGTGCTTTCACAGTCTAGGGAGAAAAAGCAGATATGGGATAAAAAATTTCCTTTTAATCAAACAGCACAATAGTTTACCATAAGTAACAGCCTACACAGCCCACTGCATTCTTATAAGCTTTATGTTTCAATATCCTGTGCAATTTCTATGTTAATTGAAGATGCTAAATGATTATTTTAAATCTGAAAACTTAGTTGCCTTTATATGCTGCTCCCTGACAGCTATAAAGAAAACCCTGTAACTTATAATTTTTTAAATAAGTCATTAACAAGTTGTATAATGGTTCTTATACCTTCAAACTTTTCAAGAATAGAAATATGTAGTACAAGAAAGTTCAACAGTCTGGTTTCCTTATCAACCCTAATTTAAAAAGTTTTTCCAAAGTCTGTTTCTCGCCATCATTCACCCTCATTGAGTGCTGAGTCTTCAAAGTAACTTTTGCAGAGCCATGGACATGTTTCAAATAGCCAGGCTTGTGTGTTCGCAGTTATTAATCAGCCTGGTGTGGTTCAGTTGGTTGGAGCATCGTCCCAAAACACCTAAAGGTTGTAGGTTCGATTCTCATTCAGGGCCCATACCTAGGTTTTGGGTTTGATCCCAGTAACTGATCAATATTTCTCTTTCATATGGATGTTTCCCTTTCTCTCTCTCCCCCCCTTCCTCTCTCTCTAAAAATCAATGAGCATATCCTCAGGCGAGGATTAAAAAAAAGAAGAGATTTAACTAGAAGTAATTTTAAATGTTGTGCTTAATATAAAAGGTGATCACCAAGTCTAGAAACATAGGCAAATATATAATAAATTATTTATTAGTATATCTATACTACACATATTGCAGTATGCAATAAAATAATTTTATCTATGGTTTCTAACGTCATGATCACCCTGTTGCATAGTAGTTAAGAACAAGATTCTGGGATTAGGCTATCTGGGCTTAAAGCATTCACCAGTTAAAGCTATATAAACTTCAAAGCAAATTAATTACTTAACCTCTCCATATTTCAGATCTCTCCTCTGTAAACAGGTTACACTATTTACCATAGAGAACTGCTACGAAGATAAAATGTCATAAGACCTTGGCCTGAGAGAAATAAACATTCAAAACCCACCAGCTATTACCACGACACTACCACTGTCCCTATGAACACTGCGCTAACAAACCCCAACACAATGCTGCGTTTGGTATCCTGGAGAGGGAGGGCTAAACTGGCCAGTATAAAATCCCCTGTACCCGCTGGAGTAAGGAGCAAGTTTCTAGTAAAATTCAGCTTCTTTTTATAAAATATATGAAAGGGCATACATCGCTACATTTAGCTCATAAAGCATTTTTTTTTAATTTAAGCATTAATTCACCTAAGTAAGTTAAAACATTAACATGAGACCTACGAATCTTAAGATTATATGGCCAGAGTTTAACCTGATTTTTAAAATTTCAATTATACACACACATCTCTTACAACTAAAATACAATTCAGAAACTATGTATTTTTAACAATAACCATTAGTGATTAAACAGGATAAAATGACAATGAACAGACAACCTATGTTGGAGGTTGAATATCAGGAAAGGAAGAGACAGGAAACTACATGCACCCAGATATCTACTTTACAACTTCCTATAAAATTTAGTTTACATATCCACTAACCCTGATCATGATCAGATTCTCAGGGGTTTCTAAGAATCTTATTAATTTTACTCTATCAAAGAAAATTTTTTTTTGGAAAAATAATTATGAACAACCTTTGTCAACTAAAAGACTCAGAGCAAGAAAGGAAATAATCATGACCTCACAAGACTATAAAAACACAAGCAAAAAGTGCCTCTTTTCTTTTTGGTATTCTGGTAAAAGTGAATCGGCAGTGATACTGGTTAATGAAATTGCTAGTCAAAAATTAAATAGTTCAGGCTGCATAGCCCAAATCTTACACCACAGGAAATAGTACTCTTAAGAGTTTTAATTAAAAGACTTCAGGGAGACTGCTGCGATTCTGATTAATTTAGGGATAACTGTGACAATACAACGTATTTTAAATAGTTAAACCACAGGAGCAAAAAGGAACAGAAAATTGCTTTTTCTAATCTCACTGGAAACACAATCTATTATGGTTCATTGTGATTTTACTGAAAAGAATGCTGCAGTACTTATGTGGACCCCATTTTGAAAATTGCTCTTATGACTTGTGTTAATTTACCCCACAGAAATGATTTTGCCTCTTTTCCTATTACAAATGATTTTCTAGGAAAGTCAGTAACATTCTGTGAAGGACATTTGGGTTCAAAACTCTAGCAGCATCTTTATATGAGTATATACAGAATGAATAATTTGAAAACCAGGTACTTACTGCTAAAGTGATTTTGCCTAAAATTTCTTCTGGAATAACATCATCTAATACACTATATACATATTTGTAAAACTTATCAAACGAGGTAGACATGAGTTCCATACAGATCCAACAGTCACCCTATAAAATAACAAATATCTGTTATTCTTATATATCTTAAGTATCATTTTTCCTTCACTTAAAATAGAAATACAATTAAAGAAAAAGCAATCTTTTATTTTTATTTTTTTTAAATCTTGTACTAGTAGAAATTTTTGATTCCTTAGTAAAGCTCTGGGCAGAATACTCTCCTCATGCTTAAACACAAACTTATTTGTCCAGTTTTCCCCACTCTTAATTTTAAGGGCAGTAACAGTCTTACATTGAAAACTTTTGCGCTTTTATAAAAATTTCAAATTTTGCCTTAATTATATATAAATATAGAAAACATGGAAAACTGTTGATTCTCACTAACAAAAAAAATAGATTACAGTTATCTAGATATTATAAAAACTTCTTAAACTAGTAAAAGAGGGGGGGATACATAAAGCCAACCCAAAGCCTCAAATCCTTGCTCAAATGCACCTTCTCAGGATCCAGCATTGAAAATGCAAGTAATCCTGCTCGTAGCGCTGCCTTATCTTACCTGCTGTACTTTGAAGGACCTTTATCATCTCTAATATAGAATGTAACTTATTTTATTATGTTTTGCACCTATATTCCCAGCCAGAACATACACTCCACCAGCACAGGGGCTCAGTGAGCACTCCTTACATGAATGAGTGCTGGCTATAACTAAACTGCATCACTCAAAAACTGATGGCAGCATTCCAGTGTGTCTTAAAACAGTCTGAAGGCAACTGGACAATAAAACAAGAACCATGACTGGGAATCTGACCTAAACTAACAGTCCATAAATTACAAAAACAAAAACAAACTGGAAACCACTGAATTATCTCACAAGAGGCAACTGTACATCATTAAAGGGATTATGTAAAATTAAATTTTTTTGAAAGCGATACAGTTCATGAGGTATGCGTGAGAAAATGCAGAACATAAGCAGATGCCACGATTATAACACTATAAAAGGATATGCACATACTTGTATGATTAAGGATACCATACAGAAAGTTCAAAAATAAGACAAGAACATCGATTTGGATGTAAAGAAACAAAGGATTAGTACCCTGAATAATAGAGCATATGCTAAATTAACTAGGAAAAGACAACACTTAATGGAATAATGGCAACGGTGTATGAACAGGCACGTCACAGAAAAGAAAACCTGGACACGCGGGCAAAACATTCTGCACCTGACCAGTAATTAGGTAAATGTAATTTTAAAAGTTAGATAGCACTTTAAACCCACCTGACTGCCAAAACTGAACACTAAATAATATCCAATACCAGCAGTGAGATCTATGACAATAAAGGCAATGTGCTCAGCTCCCAAGTCTTCTACATGCAGCAGGGCAGCCAATGAAATGGCAACGCAAACAGCTGATGGTTCCAGGCAGCCCTTCTCTGCCTTCCTGTGGCCAAGACAGCCGAACTCCAGGCGCCAACTTGGACCACGAGGCAATCTCAATAATGAACACCACACACTAAGTAAGCCGCTAAGTCTCCATTACTGACAGGTGAATAAAATTCCTGACACAGAAATCATCATTCTGACTAGGAGGAATATAAGTTAGTGTAACCAATGTGGAGAGAAATATGACAGCACCCACTGAAGTTGAAGGTATTCATTATCATTTAACCTAGCAACTATATTTCTAGGTATATACTCCGTAGGAAATCTGTAACCTAAGTTGTCAAGGAGATATGCAAAAGGAAGTTCATTTTTATACTTTTATAATTGCAAAAAAAATTAGAAACAAACATTAAAATTATTAAACATTAAAAGTGGTATGTTTACTCATTAGAATATTGCATAGCAGTTAAAATAAATTAACCAAATCTATATAAAAGGTGGGGTAAAAGTGGGCATACAGTTGCTCGTAGGGAAAATAATACAATAAATAATAATGCAAGAATAAACTCTGTTTCCACACTCACAACTTTGCCCTGCTCTGTATTACATATCTCTATTTACGTGGACAAATCTTGAAAGCTATGCAGAGTAAAAAAATGCTTTGGAAGAAACAAACAGGATGATTCCATCTCCATAAACTTAGAAAATATATAAAGCAATACTATATATTACTTAGAGAAAAATATATATGTGGAAAGCCTAAATAAACAAGTTGAAGCATTAACTTCAAGGTAGTGTTGCGACTGGGAGAGTAAAAGGGGAAACAGGATGGGGGCTTCCACTGTATCTATAATTTACACACAGATAAAGAGCAAATGTGGTGAAATGCTGACCTGCGTTGTAGATACACTGTTATTTCCTGTAATTTTCTGCTTGTTTGGAATATTTCATAGTTTTTAAAAAAAGTAAGAACTATCTTAAGAAACTAGGGAGAAAAAGAGCAAATTAAACCAAAATAAGGAGAAGAAAATGAGTGATCAATTTTTTTTTAAAAATTTAAATTAGAATACAGAAAATTAATGTAACTGAAAGTTGGCTCATTTAAAGATTAATAAATTTGATAAAATTCTATCCAGACTAACCAGAAAAGATTAGAGAACATGCAAATTGCCTGTATCAGGAATGAGAGGAGAGGGAGGAAACATCACGATGGAGTTTACAGATATTAAGATGATAATAAAGGACTATTTTAAATAACTATGTCAATTAATGTGACAATTTACATGAAGGGGACAAATTTCTTCAAGGAAATTTACTACCAAAGATCACTCCAGAAGAAAGAGATAACTGGAGTAGAATTCTATCTCTGAAAGAAATCAAATTTGTAGTTGAAAATGTTCCCACAGCATATATGCACAACCCAAGGACACGGACAATGGTGGGGAGAGGGACTGGGGAGGGGGATGGGAAGGGGTGGAGTGGGTCATTGGGGAGAAAAAGGGACATTTGTACTATTTTAAACAAAAATAAATTTAAAAAAAGAAAAGAAAATCTTCCCACAAAGAAAACTCCATAATCAAGTGGCTTCACTGGTGAATTCTATCAAATACTTATAGAAGAAATAATACCAACTCTATAAATTCTTCCAGAAAACTGAACATGATGGAGTATTTCCCAAATCATTCTATAAGGCTAGCACTGCACTGATACAAAAGCAAAAAAAAAGAAAATTACAGATGACTATCCCTCATGGCATGTATATAAAACTTCTAAATAAGTTTTAGCAAATTTAACAATATAAAAAAACAACAACATAATAATCCAGTGGATTTATCCCAGAAAGACAAGGTTGGTGTAACATTTGAAAAGCAATCCATGTAACTTACCGTATTTTAAAAGAAAATTGTAACACCATACAATCATCTCAAGGATGTATAAAAACAATTTGACAAAACTCTAATATCCATTCCTGATAAAAACTCTCAACAAACAAGTAATAGAAAGGAACTTCTTCAGCCTGATAAAGATTACCTATGGAAAACTAGAGCTAACATCAGTGAAAGGCTGAATGCTTTCCCCCTAAGATCAGAAACATGACAAGGATGTCTCACCACTTCTATTGAAAAATGTACTTGAGAATCTAGCCAGTGCAATTAAGAAAAGAAAGAAAGAAAAGGAACAAAAAAGGTGGGG